GCGCTTTCGTCGAGCGCGCTTTAGTCTACCGCGGTTTTGTGGTGGAACCGGTAAGCACAATGTGGTGACCCAGTCCAAAGTACTGCACCAATTTGGTTGTATTTATAAAGCATTGAGAAAAGCAACCTCCTTAATACTGTATTGAACAAAGCCTAATTATAAACAATTTCCAACTTAACAGTAAGAAAGCCACAATGAAGCTGTTGTACAAATACTTTATTTAAAAAGCATATTGCTTTGGACCAAACCAGACATATGTACTGCTGCATGAATAATAGAATAAATTTTTAAGTCTTAAAGTTGTACATAATAGGACAACTGGCTGCTATATAAAGGTAATTCTGTGCAGTTTAGATTACAATTTCCCAGAAGTTGTAATCTAAAAAGGCAGAACCCACTGACAAAGGGACTGTAAGGTACATCTACCTATGTTTGCCTTGTCGAGCAACAGAATGGGTCAGTAATTATTTCAAATCATGCTCAATGAGCATTTTCTCGCACTATATGATTGCTAAATAAAGCTTTCCCTTAATTTTCTGAATAGCAATGACTTTTTAAAAACACTGGCAGGGTTCCACATTTTTCACCCCATTCAATAAAAGGAGTTTTTACTTCAACTGTAATTTTAAATGTAAGACTATGGAAAATCAAGTAGAGCTTCCTGAGTACATTCTTCTTCATAAAGAAAGTCTAATTAATGGCTTCAGGGGTTAATTAGTTGCCTTTTATAAGAGCAGTCTTTTTCCTCTTCTTCTCTCCCTTTATTTCAAAAATAGCAAATACTCTTGAAGAAACGTGGATGGTGGCACTTTGGAGTTTCTGCTGAAAACTGAATAAATCTGAAGAATTGTCTGTATGATCCTCAATATGACCTTCTGACTCCTTTACCTCTTCTTCCTTGATTAGCAAAGGCTTCCCCAGGGCGTGTCCAAACAACTGGCAAACTTCTTGAGCTTTTTGCTGAGCACTTCTAACCGCAGAAACGCATACCTGCCTCCTGAAAACAAAGAGCAGCAAGATTTAGTTAATCAGTTCTTATTTAAATTGCAGTTTTATGCTTGTCAAACTTGATGACATTTTTTTCAGATAAAGTGAAGCCTTCAGTATCACATAATTGCACATCTAGGCACATAATTACACAAATTTCCGCATAGTTACAAGTTTTTCCTTAATAGTATTTGTTTAAAAATTTGTTCTTTTCTGAATGAAAGCCAAACTAATTTTTAGGAACTAAACTTGCCTTTTTCCTTACTTATTTCATTTTCTTTGCAAACTATGATAGTTGTATAGTTGAGGGCAAGGCTATCTTACCACTGTTCTGCATACAATCCTGGAGGTATGAAGAGGATATTAAAAAATACTTCAAATATGTACAACCTCAAAAATTTATTGCTATTCCTTAATTTAATTACATGCTACAATACTACAAAGCAATCTATAGGTGGATTGATGAGTTGGGCCACTCCCTTTTTTTCGGCCCACCCTACCTCACAGGATTTTTCTTGTGGGGAAAATAGGAGACAAATAGGAGGAAAATATGCAAATGTAATAAAGGTTAGAAGGGAGGGAGGGAGGACAGTAGGGAAGTCAGGATGGAGAGGAGAAAGGAGAGGAATAGGAAAGGCAGAAGAAGGGGGGAAGAGTAATAAAAATAATCTTATTTGTTGCAATATTACTACTTATTCCTTATATTATTCTCTTCCTTAAATTAAGGCAGGAAATTTGGGGAGATGAAAAATGTGTCCAACTTGTCTGACACTAATTCAGTATTTCATTCTGACATTCCGCAACATTTCCCAATCTCTCCCGCCTCCAAGACTTGACAGGACAGAAATACACATTACAGTAGTAACTTCCCATAGTAACTCCAGTCTTTTTATTAGTAAACATAGTGGTGATGGCACTCCTCTGCCATCTCTATGTGGAGATGCTGGTATGAACTGGATGATCAGTTTTAGGTCTGACAACACTGGTCCAAAGGATAGCTATTAAAGCTGCAATCTCTATGTTATTGCACAGTCAGTTCTCTTCAAGAAAACATTTTTACTTATGTAGTTTGGAACACATATTCACAATGAAATAAGCAAGCCAGAAATATACATCTTCTTGAGAAATGAATTGAGAAACTTACCGAAGGGCATCTACAGCCTCCATCGTATGGTAAAAGTGAGGTGAGCTGATGATAACTGATTTGTCTAGTTTCTCAACTAGATGATTACATGTATCTTGCATTTTCCCAAAATCAGTAAATATAATGCAAACCTGTAAATGAATATAAAAATGTAGCAGCCTTTTTTCAGTGGCTTAATTGCAAGAGGACCAAAATAAAAGATAGCAGTATATATGGATCTTTTCCAGCCTCTCACTTTTTTTTTATTTACTCTTATTATTTTATTTATTTATTATTATAAAGCTGGCTCACAATCTGCAAAGTAAACTGAGTACAGTGAATTAAAAATCAAGTACTGGCTAGGGTATTATTTGAAAATACCTTATTTTGTTAGTATCTACTAATATTAGATTAGGACCAAAGTAATCTATCAGAGAGATATTCATTAGATAAGCCATAGTTTAAATAAAGGTATGCACTTTCAAATATGAATCTATGCTAGAGTTCAGCAACACATCTCTTCAACAGTGGTGACTCTCTACTCACTTCATTACACTATTTGAAAATACTACTCATTCTTAATTGATTAAGATATGTAGAGGAGACATTTGTCCCAAGATACCACAGCAATTAATGACATATTTTCAGAATACTTCCATTAAGTTTTCCATTAAAATTCTAAATTAGCTTTAACACGATACAATGCTAAATGAAAAAGCAAATGAGTGAATTTAATAAATTTAAGAATGCATATGTAGATGGTTTTAAAAGTTTTGTCAAATCAAAACAAACATATTTAAGACTAATAGTTCTCTTATTTAAGATACTTACCTCGGCTTCCATCTTATACGAATTGTCTATTCTACTGAAGTTTTTTGTCACAGTCACATCATTTTCCTTGGGGAGGAAAAATGATCATTTTAAGTCCACTACTTAAAAACAATGTTCTTTTAGGCACATTAAACAACAGAACAGAACAATGCATTTCAAAACAGTAAAAGTGAGTTAGAGCTGGAAGAGACTTACCAAAATTAACAGAGTTATACTAATAAGAATCAAGTCCAGGTCCAAACTTAACACCCTTTCTTTAACTCATATTTTACCATGAAAATATGTAACCATGTATTTGAATCAAAAGTAAAAAAAAAGTGCTTCAAAGTAGAAGTATAAACCTTTTCCTGCAATTTCTTAAAGCAGTTGTGCCCCTTCCTGGAATCATGTAAAAAATTATTTTTGCCTTGAAATTCAAAGGGCTAAACAATCCTAATAAGCATGATTGAGTGAACAATTTCCTAAAATACTTATGCTTTGAAAGACTGCAATATCAGAAATATCCTAAATTACCTGGTACCTATAAATTCCTGATAATCTGCTAAAATGCCACTTGTAGGACAGAAATAAGGTGTTACTCATAGCATCACAAACCATTCAAAAGAAACATAATTATTCTCTATGGTTTTTAAAACTCTTATTAAGAACTGTGGTTAACATAAATGCAAATAAAAATACTGGCTAGTATCAATTGGCTGACTTTAGACTATCACCTTTTCAGCGCTAGAAAGAAGGCAATGGAAAAGCACCTCTGAAAATGTTGCCTAAAAATTGCATGAATTTGACTATGAAGTGACTAGGGAGTCCTAACTGACTTGAAGGCCACATATTTTTTATTTTACTTGTGTGCTTTTTCCTTCAAAACTGTTTCCACAGTGTTATATCTTATTTCTAGGTTAGATTAGGTTTCATAACCATTACTAATCCAGAGGAACTGAGTAAATTTCACAACTGAGGGAGGTCTGAAAACGGGATTGGAATTACATCCATATAAACTCAGAAGGAATGACTTTTAGATCAGTAGTACATAACTGTTGCTAGTTACCCAATGACACTCCTTCATGATGGCTAAACAATATGTATTGTCACAGGAACCGTATTTTTTGGAGTATAAAACGCACCAGAGTATAAGACGCACCAAGGTTTTGAAGAGGCAAATAAAAAAAAAGTTTTTGCACTCTGCAAACCTCCCAAAAACAACTCATTTTTCGGGAAAATGGGCCCGTTTATTTAAAAAGAAAAGAGGCATGAACAGCCTTTAGGAGGCTTGTAGAGTGCTCCTGGGAGGGGGGTTGGAGTGGGCCAAAAATGGCCCATTTTTCACGAAAATGGGCCCATTTTCTGTAAAAAAATTTGCATGCATAGCCTTATGGAGGCTTATAGGGTGCTTCTGGGGGCTGGGGGGGGGATTGAGCAAAAAAACGGCCTGTTTTTCACTCATTTCTGCCTTCCCCAGCCCCCAGGAGCACTCTGAAAGCCTTCTAAAGGCTATGCACGGCTATTTTGGTGAAGGGGATGGGGTTTTGGGAGGCACAAATGCTGTATTCAGTGTATAAGACGCACCCAGATTTTCAGCCTCTTTTTTGAGGGAAAAAGGTGCGTCTTACACTCTGAAAAATACGATAAATGTCTATGGAGACTCTCAGTCAACCAAGTCATGGTTGTCCCAAAGGTGCTTTTTCACGAGGCAACTGGACTTTCTGGTTTTCTTTGAAGACATTTCACTTCCCAACCAAGAAGCTTCTTCAGCTCTGAAGAAGAACTGAGGAAGCTTTTTGGATGAGAAGCAAAACATCTTCAAAGAAAAACCAGAATGTCCAGTTGCCTCTTGAAAAAGCACCTTTGGTACTGGACTATTAGCAAGGAGATTCGCTCTTTAGTCCAACCCCAGCTCCCTGGTGATTCTGAGTCAACGAACCTCCCTAAACTCAATCTACTTCACATCCTTGCTGCTGCAGTTAAAAATTGTTATGCTTCCTATGCTGCCATGGGCTCCTGAATGAAAAGTGAGTTTAAAATCAAAATAACTTGAGGTCTACTCCTGGTGACTGTAGCTAGGCAGCATTATAAAAATGATTTACGACTGCCTACCTCTGGAATGGATCGGGGACTATCCAGATGATCCCTTTATCCAAGTTATTTCGATGCATACAGCACACCGAGACACCCATTAGCATAAAGCATAGTTTAGCCTAATTCAGCCACTAGGCAGGACAGCTAGAGGTTCCCCATGCTAGATGTGTATGGGGGTTCTCAGTCATCTAGGTCTTGTTTGCCCCAAAGGTGCTTTTATCAAGAGGCAGGTGGACTTTTGGAGCCGAGGTGGCGCAGTGGTTAAATGCAGCACTGCAGGCTACTTCAGCTGACTGCAGTTCTGCAGTTCGGCTGTTCAAATCTCACCGGCTCAGGGTTGACTCAGCCTTCCACCCTTCCGAGGTGGGTGAAATGAGGACCCAGACTGTGGGGGCAATAAATGCTGACTCTGTAAACCGCTTAGAGAGGGCTGAAAGCCCTATGAAGCGGCATATAAGTCTAACTGCTATTGCTATTGCTATTGCT